TTGGCTCTTAAGACGTGGCTGCACTGGAGGGCATTCGTGCTGTTTGTGCAGTGGCAGCACGTCCCAACCGACATCGACAAGCTGCACTGAGCGAAAATATCAGTTAGAGGGGAGCGCTGGAAGGGGAGCACTCAAAATGGGCACTTTCGGTCGCAATAACCACGACATTTACGATTATTTTACGGCCACTAAAAATCAAAAGTGTAATTTACGGAACCAAACCAAACTGAACCGAGACGAACAATGAGACGGAGACAGGGACGGCAACACGAGCGGAGAAAGAGACGGCAACTTCGACTGAGGAGCGATGAAATCGTATCTGTATCGGTGTTGCATCAGCTTAGATGAAGTAGAATCCACGGATATGGAGGGCAAAATTTTGTGTTGGTGCAGAGTTCAGTTTGGTGTGGGTGGTGCTCTATTGCGTTGTGGGAAGCTGTATTGTGAACTGAAGTACACAAAAGGAGCTATTTGCTTAAATAAAATATTTGTGTTTATATTTATATTTTCTAATTTGCCTCCGATTAAGTTTTGAAAGACTTAGTTTCATAGTTGCTACATAAATATGTTATGTATTGGCCAAAAATTAATTTAATTGCAAATGGTCTTCTGGAGTTCTTCTTGCACTTATACTTTAAACCACTTTGCAAACTTATGTAGTTCTGATGTTGGGTTCAGTTTGAAATACAGACTGCTGAAGCAGTGAGGATATACTGTAAGGAAAACCAGTTGATTCCTAACTGGATGGACACTGCCGGCAGCCGAATGAAAAGCAGTCGTTGCCTCCTTTGGTTCCTTTCTCTGCACTTGCTGGCTGTCTCTGTTATGGCTTGCCTTTTTCCTTTAGTTTCCTTATTTTTCTGGCCATCACATGTGCAACTCGAAGCCAACAACTCCAAGTATGAAGCCCTCTTCCGCCCACTTCCCCTGATTGCGATTGGTGTTCTGTTTTAGCCGGATGGCGATGGCTGGATGCTGCGAATGTCGAAAGCTCATTGCGTCGAAAGATGATTTTCATGTTTTTCCCCTTCAACGTCCCCTGAAATCCCCCAGTTTTGAGCCGGAATCGTGGCCCTAACGATGCTCAAAGTAATTTTGTTGTCTTAACCGCGTTTACTGACATCTTGATGCTTTGATTGCTCCGATTTTGAATGGAATCGTTCGCGCTGCAACACCCGCACTTGGCTTTATTGCCCATTGCCATTATCGTCTCTGGCAAGTCGGGGAAATTGAATTGAAGTCTTTGATTGGCAATATGCTCCGTTGACCCCTTAACCAGTTGCAAGTCGATCGTAAACCGGAGCGGGAATATGCGGATAGCGGCAATATAAAGAAAACACTGGAATGCCTGTATTAAAATTGGCCAATTTAATTGGAAAACTTGCTAGTAGACTTATATATATAAAGTAACCTGCTGCCCGAAACATTTTAAACAATAGTGTTGGTAACTGAAGCAAATTTATAGAAGATATTATCCATGACTCTAAGCTGTTTTTTTTCAATCTATTTATTAAATGCCTTGGAGGCAACGTATGTGTTGAGCATCACAAACTAAAAAGAATTGGTAAAGTCAAAAAATTCTTCAATGCTTTATAAGATATATTAATATATATTAACAGGATAAATATAGAAGGGATAGATTAAATATCGTTTTGTATTGGTCTTTTTTCAATGTCCTTTTTTGGTAACAGCTCTTGAATATTTAAATTTTTTCAAATATTATCCAGCAGTCGAATCTTAAAATGCAATTTGTGGATAGGATAAAAATAAAGGTTCTATTTTAGTATTTTAAGTCTTGAGTGACTTTACTAAAACTCGAAATAAAATACAAAAAAGGGTTAAGAATATAGATAATGTAAGGAAAATATACTATATTACACCTAAAGCAAAATGTTCGAAGAATTTAAAAATTAACTTCGAGTTTTTGCTATAAAAGCTATTCATATTATATTCAGATTTTTATAAATATGGAAACCAAATTTTTGAAATTGTGAATAAACGGGTATATTTCGGATTCTATAATCTTCTGATCTCAGAGGCTTTAAAATATATACTATCCGCAATCCAGCGCAGGCTTTTGGGAAAATTTACTTCAGATGGCAAAATATAACGAAGAGATTGGATTAACTTGGCAGCCAATGCTGATGAAGAATAGGTAGTGATGCAACCTTTATTTTTAAATTAAATAACCCATTAGTATAAATGTATGTATCGGTCTGGAAATGCAGAGGATCATTGGTTTCAAACTTCACAGCTAAGCAAAATCTTAAAAAAGAACCATACAAATGTTGCACAAATAATTTATGACATTTCCTCTAAGTGTAACATTTTATTTAAACATATGTCTGTTACGTAACAGACATAAACTTCAAAGGAGTAACAGTGGCTCTTAAACTGGACTGCCAAGTGGCTCTCAAACTAGCGATGACAGAACCCATAGATGGCGCCCGCGAAACAGTGCTGCCATCTGCCGAACAATATCTGAAACTCCATCCTTTTATCCGTTAAATTTCAAACAATGTAAAAGGTTGAAACAAAATTCTTATCTCGCTTTTCTTAATTTACTTAATATTTGCACTGACTAAGAAATTTTGGGATACTTTTGATTTTGTTTTTTGTTTTGCTTATTTTCTGCTTGTTTGTTGTCCAACAATAATTTAGGTTTTGGTCTTCTTACAAGAAATCGCTCATCCGCCCCCACCAAGCGACGTCTGCGCCGCTGCGAGTCGAAACTGGAAATGTGGCGCGGTGGTTGAACGAGCCAGAAAAAATCCAGCATTTCATCACCACCACCAGCATGAAAATGGGCTTGGCCTTTTCGTTTGAGTGAGTATTTCAAGGCGCTCATTCTCCTCGATTCTCCATGCGCCTCTCTTTTTTTCTCTCAGATAGCCGTCGGCGTTAAAATATTTCAAAAATCTTTAATACCTTTCTCGGATATTTTTTTAATTTGAATCATTTTGATGTTATTAAATGTGTAGGTTAAAGGAGTAAAAAAACAATGTCACCGGAAAAAACCACATTTTTAATTTAACATTATAAAAAAGTTAAAAGTTTCTTCATTTTGAAAATGCAATAAGACATTTTAATTGTTTTAATAAAATAAAATACTTTTTAAGTCATATATTGTTTGCAAACAGCTAAAATCTGCTGGAAAAAGTCATACTTTGGCTCTTAAAGTATATTAGCTTGCTATTATTTAATTTAGACATAAAAATTTATAAAGTCTTACGTCTTTATTTTAAAATTTTTTGTTATAAATATATTATATTATTTATAGTAAAAAATTTGAGATAAAAGCCAGTCTAACTTAAAATAAAGTTTTCAAAAAGTCAAGTATTTTTCCCTTTAGTGTGTTAACTTTATGTAAAATCTAAAACAAAACACATAGAATTTAATTGACTTAAACTCTTAACAATAATAACAATTTTGTTGTAGTTATGAGTCGAAATAAATAAATAATTAAAGATCAGATGTTGCGCTTGAGTATTCATCACATTCATTGACTGAGTCGTGTTGCAACTTCACTTTCAGGTTTGCGGCACAACTTAATTGAATTCATAGAGCGTGTTGGCACACCCGTACAGTGAACACCGGCAGATGGGAACGGTAGCCGCCTGGCGAGTCCATAAAATGTTAATTATGAATTGCGAGTGAGTTGGCCGTGGCCGTGGACATCCTCTTCACGATGGCTTGGAAAACGTTTTATTTGAATTTAATTCAAAGTGTTTCGAATTCGCCCGGGCATTGATAATTTCGCACGAATAAAGTCGTCACTGGGAATGGACCGTGGAGTAATTTCATTTCACGCTGCCTCAAATGAAGTGCGCAATTCTGACAGCCGAGGTGGGGGGAGAACGCTCGACCTTGCCACCATCGAAGTTGGCCCATTGTGCCGAGAGCCAGTTGAATCAAGTTTCTGTACAAATTTGTACAATTTCATATTTACCCAGCACCACAAAACGACGCCAGACAATGGGAAACTGCTTAAAGATAGCTGCCAGCGTACAAAGCACCCCAGGAGCGTCTCGTGGTGATTATGGGCCCGGGTTGAAAATCGGGTAAAAAGGGCAGATACAGATAAGTTATTGAAGCCGGCGAGGAGCAACCCCTGCAAGGGATCTGTAAAAATAGGACAAGATACACTCGCACACATTCATCTGCCCGGAGGGTGCGTCGTAAAAATGAGTTACGAGTCCTGCCATTTTAAATTAAAATAGCAGGCAGCCTCCATTGTGGCAGCAAGATGGAAGCAGCAAAAGGAAAAAGGTCAAAGGCCACATTTCCACCCCGAAAACCGGGCGGACAAAATGGTCATGTTGACAGAAGTAAATCTCCTGAATTATCGCATTAGATGCCGCATTCTCACAGATACATAGATTCCCGGCCCGATGAAGCCATGTCGTAAATAATCGGGATCGGAACGTCGCCGGGGCATTATAAAGGATTTTCGGGCAGCCCTGTTGATTTAAGCATTCTTCCTGTGTTTGTTTGCCATTCAAAAGGGTTCAAGACCATGGCCACCCCATATTCAAAAGACTCTTTTGGCCACCAACTTTGATCGACATTTTGCTCTTATCTCATTTGCATTTAACGTATATTAGCAATTTTAATTTTTCGAAACTTATGAATAAGACATGTACACAAATTAATTGTTGTTTCACAAATTATTCACAGAATTCAAATAAAATATTAAATAGAACTAACAATTTTAAGCAAGATATAGAAATATTTAGAAAATGTGCCAAGCATTTAAATTAAATTGTTTTTAATTATTCATCACAATGTTAAATAGATTCCTTAAACTGGTTGGAGCGACAGTTACTTACAAATATTTTAATCGTTGCTTCACTCGATCAAATTGAAAATAACTTTTTTTATATTTCCCAATCAAAAGTTGGTTTTTCTTTATGTTTGTTTAAGCTTTTCCGATGTACCTTATATATAAGGTTTAAAAGTATTAATGTATAAAAACAAAACACCTTTTATTCCATATTTTGTTTTTAATGCATTTAAAGTTTTTATTACATTTTACGGAGATGGCAGGAGAATTGGCTATATACTGGAGGCTAAATTTGCCTAGTTATTTTAAGAAACAAAATCCTAAAATGTTGAGCAATCCTAGGAGATTGTTCCTTAAAAGTTTCAGGAAATTATTAGATTCTGCGCCAAAGACTGAACTCTGGATTTGTAACTGCTTAATCGTATCCTCTTCGCTCACTGAACGACTGTGATGGTAAAGTACTCCTCGGGGGCCACCAGGTACTCAAACTTGCGAGTGGCTAGGCGCATGAAGCACAGCTTGTTGGCCGGGTCAATGTCCCGGACGACACTTTGGCAGGTGCTCACCAGGAGTCCATTTAAGTGCTTCACGATCGCCTGGGCACTGGTGTTGTCGAAGGACGTTTCGGCCACCGCATTCGCCATGTTGTCGGAGACCACATATCCTATAGTGTGCTCCGATAATATGCGATCCACTATGGCTCCGTTCTGGTGGATCACCTGCTCCAGTATGCGATTCATTTCTTTCCGTGTGATGTGTATAAATGTTGTATATTTCAGGACAGGGAGTGAACTGACAGCTCAGTGTTCTGTGTAAGGTAGTACTGAATTTATTTGATAGGTTGAACTCTAAACCATACATTTCTTTTGATGTTGAGGGCACAGGTTTCTTGTAAGCTTAAAATTGCTGAGCATTTTTAAATAACATAAAACAATGTAGTTGTTTTTTTATAAGCATAATTTTCTTAATTCGAAGCTTATAACGAAAAGGAGTACAATGCTTATAATTAATTTTGGAAAATAGTAAAGGTTTATGTAGACTTTGGTTTGGCACCTTCACTAGAAACGCCTAAAAATCAAACTTTTTTGATTTAATATATAAATAAATATAAAGATTAATGTTTAAAGTATTTAAAAAAGAGGCTAAACATTTTGATACACATCCATAACACATTTAAAAGCACTTATTAAGTCCCGTATGAAATGAAACTAGAAAATGCATTCACCCACTTTCCCTTTAGCCACATTCAAATTAAGCCCCCATGTTCAATATTTTTATATCGGATTTATAATTAGTGTTCAGCATACGCCTATCGTGTTGATTAAATAAGTGTTGGTCCCTCGCACTTTGCAACAGATGGCAGTGGGTTTCGAATAAATTAAACTTATCGGAAATTTCTTATCTCGATGCGGCCTTTGATCCCCACTCTCCCCTGGAATCCCCAGTTGTGTACCCGAATGCCATTGAACTTGCCCTCCAATGGGATCTGCCGAGGTCAGTTCGAATTACTGCACACAAGAACTGATATTACCGCCCAAGTTCAAGTGGTCGCGTGGCTTCTCCGACTTTCTCCTCCCGCAGGCAGCCTCATCAAGCCGTTTTCATTTAATTTTCATGCACATTTGATGGCGTCTGTTATTGGCTTTTAACGAGATTTCCACTCCAGCCCGCCGTTGTATTTTTAGGTATCCGTATAATTGACTTTTGGACTTTGAACCGCTTTGTCGCAGGTCGTTGACTCGCCGGCGGCGACTTAAACTAATTCCAATTGCCGGGCTTAGCTTAAAGCCCCTTTCATGAGCCATAAATCAGAGCCGACGGAGTTGCAAATAGTGGCTGGTGTTTAGTATTTAGTACAACACTCATCTGGCCAAAGGCTCATCTGTATTCAGGGCCCCTCGTCTTCTCGGCCAGAAGTGCTTGTCGGACAAGTCCAGCGAGTGCATACTGGGAGTGCATGTGGGAGTGCATGTCCCTCTGAGTCCCCAGACACCCAGATCCCCAGATCGACCCAAAATGGCCACTCGAGCGCCCACAAACGGTCATAAAACACTTTCGGACATGTTGTTGGCCCAACAAACAACTCTCAACTCTGCTCCGTTCTTTTCTCTCCGTGCTGGTCAATAAAATGTGCATAAATTCCGATGCCATTCAACGGCAACCCGAAACTGGCCGATTCTGACCGTTCCCGTTCAGCAGGAGGCTTTGCATTTAACGGGTTAAACTCGAAGGTACGGTGGAAAACTTATATATATTTATTGGCAGCATTTTTTCTTATTATTAAAAGTCTTGACTTTGGGAGTATGCATTTTGGAGACACCTTTGTGTTCTAAGAAACTTTTCTGATTTAACAAATTAATACCATTTATAGCCAAATTATAATATATTACGAAATCTGCCTCAATTCAAAATTATTTAGTTTGGAAATTTTGTGTATCCTCCATATATTCTGGATCAGAATCGTCGTCAAAGTCCTTTCTTGTGGCATTTTTTTGTAAGGAAAACCCTGTAAGTTTTGTTTTCTTTATTTAACATATTTTCATACCAACGTTTGTTTGCCTTTTTATTAAACGATTGTATTTATTAAAATAATCTAATTTCATTAAGTTTTTTAATATTTAATTTGTACTTTTTATTTCAGTTTCCTTCGAAAGTTTATAAAAATAATTTAATTGTAAATCAATATTTTCTAATGCCATTACAAACAAATTAAAATGGCAAAATAATAGTAATAATAAGAATAAATGACTATCATTTTTTTAACACTTTTGTTATGCACCCACCCATTGTAATTTAAACTTTTAGAACCGCTTTATCCAAATCCACTCCCACTTTTAGTCATGATTCATGGCCGCCGAACGCAAAACGAGAGATTTGTGGCCGGCAAAATGAATTGTGTCCAAGTTCGGGCTCTGTGCCATTTCAAACTATGCAAAATGCGAGCTCATAAATCCCCTGAGCCCAAGTCGGACTATTTTACTATCTCTGGCCACGAATTTGGTTTGGTTTTGGGTTTTGGCCCCGGGGCGGGATTAGGCGGCAAACGCTTATCCGAAAGCGAGAAACTCGGCGTTATGCCGGCGCCATAACTCATTTAATTAGATGACTATCGCTGTTTAGGCATAATTCAACCACCAATATACGAAACTTTCCGAACCCCCCGAACTGCGAAGAGGTCAAAAGGTCGGGCGCCATTAAAAACGATAAATAACACCCAAAAAGAATGAAACTTACGAAATGGAAAATTCCTACGTTAATTAGAAAAACCAACAGAACAACTGGCAACTGAAATTAAAAAAAAAAAAAAAACCGACTGACAAAGAGAAAAAGGCAGGACATGGAGTGGCAATTTGGAAACACTTTCCCTGTCTCCGCTCCTGAAAATGCAAATGAGCTGCTCGAGCAGGAATCCAGGCCTTTTGGCTCCAGGTCCGGTCATTGGCCGGTGGTCAGTATCTGTATCTGGTTTTTTGCGCTCTGTTTTGGCCCTTTCATTTGTGCCACTCGAGCGGCGAAAGGGACACGTCGCACACACATGGCACAAATTGCCATGGCCTTTTGACCAACTGGCCCAAATATATCCTTCAGCGACCCTTCCGTCGGCCCACTGACACACTTCCCCGCTCCACATACATATCACCAGCATCTGAAGCCCAGTTTTGATTACGGACTCCGAAACTCCGAAGCTCCCATAAATAATGTGCAACATACATATTATTCGTGTACATGTGGACTCACCTCAACGCGTTCTGAATTTTTAATGTGCCCAAAATGGAGAACAGTCCTCGAGAGTTGTGAAATATACAATATCCTGGGGTGGAAATCGGACTGCTTGACAATTCATCTGCTCTGTGAGTGTTCTGTAATTGAAAATTAAATGGAAAGTGTTAAATGGACGAAGGAGAAACTTGAGATATTTTCCCAAAAGGATTTAGGACTTATCGTAAGTAAACCAAAATAACATTTTGAAGTATATTCATAGACAATTTCATAGCCCATATAAAATCAGTACCAGGGATTCTTTAATGGATTATAAAAAGAGTAAATTAAACTCAAATGTTTCAAGGCTTTAAAAACACTTTAACTATAACATATATTGTATATTTTCTTAAATTAATTTGTTTTTCAATAATATAAATTTCTGTGTACCTATTTCCCATAATTATCAAATTGGCAAATTAAAGGAACATTTTTTCTTTGAGTTTCCCCGAAACTTACATTGTTAAATATATAAGTTTTTATTCTTATTAGGTTTCTAACGAAACTCACCCAATACTTAAACAATACTTCTCAGAACACCATAACCCACTAAAAAAAAACAGCACATAAAATAGAGACTTAATCATTAACACATGATTTCATTATTTTTAACGACAAATTGTTGAATCGACTCATTTGAGATTGGCAAAAAAACAATAAAACTGTGAAAATATTGCAGCCCCAAATTCGTAATCCCATTGACAAATGGCATTATTTGCTTTTCGAATTTATGTTATGGACTTCTAAATAACAACCAATTTAAGGTATTTATCTTTAAGAAGCGTAATTTCGTATGCTAATTCCCGTGGCAGTTGGCTTGCTAATTTATGAAAGCGTCGGACTTGGCCACAACCGATCTGGTTTCGACCAGCTGAATTGGATATTTGCTGGCCGAACAATGCAAATTTTTATTAGCCATGAAGTCGGCCATAAAAGCCATTTCAAAACCGCTCGAAATCGTTGCTCTCCGCTCGAGTACAAATTGTTAGAAGAGGTGCAAAACGGCGCGATTAAATTTATCTCGCAGGCTAATTTTAATAACTTCATGAGACTGAGACTCGTTTTCAGAGCAAATAAATTTAAAATTTAGTAAAAAACAAACAAAGTATTGAATATCAAGTTTCGGTCGATGGCAATCTTAGAACTCGAAGCGAAAACGCTTGCCAAAACAAAGGAATTGAATTCATTTAGTTTTATGGTCCCAAAAAAGGTGGGAGATGTTCGAAAAAAATTACATTGGGCCAACAACAAAGACGCACACACACAGACAAAGGCCATTGAGAAGATAAATTTCTTAATTTAAATTCAGAGTCTGAGTGAATCGAGTTTTGTTCGTTTCCACCCTCGAACGATTTTCATTTCCGTTACAAATGCTTTTCAATTTCGCCCGAGCCAAATTCAATTTTCAAACGTTTTATTTCGACAACGTTTTGATTTAGTCGCGCTCGCTTTGAATATTTTACGAATTGGTTGGATTTTGGAATCGAAATTGGGCTTGGGCCTCCATTTTGTGGCTTTTGTGCGTATGTGCGTTTGTGTAACTATGGAATATTTATTATTTAAATTTCTCGACTGCGACTCGGCGGCCCTAAATCATGCGACAGGCTCATTCAGAAACACACACACTCTCGCGCCCGAAAACACTCGCATATTCGTAAGTTGTGTTGTCTTTTCGACGCATGATTTAGGTGCAGTCATAAATTCAATTTTAAGCTTTTTGGTATTTCATTTCGCTCTGGCCGGGGATCTGGTTTTGGGCCCCGGAATGGAGGATGGGGTTGGGATCGGGCCCGGGTCCGGGTCCGAGGCCAAGATAAACACTTGACAACGTGCTAAGGCCGGCACTGGCAACGCGATAAGCGCATAAATAAAGTCCCCCGTAATAAATTCAGCGTCGCATTTGACGCCGCGCCATCGCATCTGTGGATCCATGGACTTCTGGGGCTTTTCGGGGGGTTCGAGTGACACTTGGTCCTCCAGAGCCACTCTCGACCTCTTGGCTTGACTGTACCATGCATCATCCGTGGCAGTTTGAAGGAACCATTAAGCTCTACTCCTCTTTTTACAAGACAACTTCTGGAGCCGT